ATTATTTATTAATGTAATATAGGAAAAAATATTTCTGCACTTAATGCAGATAAGTTATCTACATTTATTTTCAAAACAACGTCATTTTGGTAGTAAAATTTTAAAAAATTATAAATATAAAGACTATTATAACTTTGAAATAAATTAAAATTACAAAAATATCATGATTTTCGTCCCAAAACGACGTTATATTGAACTTACTGCAGAGAACTTATTTGCAATAACCGCAAAAAAAGTGAATCCTATAATATAATACTAGTGAAATATATATAGAGAGAATGTAAATTTTTAAATTGATCATCATTTTTATCTTGATTTGTGTAATAGTTAACACAATGAAATGCAAGATACAATCTTGGCAATATGCGTTCGTGTGCACGCTTTTCAATTCATACGCATTTCGTAGAGCAGGACATATACGTTTTGCTTTTTGCACAAATTACACATCAACAAGCATTGGTAAAATATATGTCTTTTCACATTAAATTATTAAATAATTTATTAAAAGAATTACACGGTAATGTGCCTCTTGCATTGCATGGGTCAGGAAAACCTCAATAAAATCATGACTCGAACCTTTCCTTGGTTCGGAGCCATGTGAGCAGATGATTATTGGAAATCAAATGAACAAATATAATTAACCCTATAATTTATCATAATAATTAAATGACTAACTTTTTTTAATGGATAAATAATAGTCACAGTACTATTAAAATAAATTTGAAATATATTAATATCCACTTTTTTGGTTAAAAAAGTAATATTACGTTGTTATCACATGTCAAACTACAAATTTAACATTAGGTACTGTGAAACTTTTTAGATAAATTAATGGTTGTTATTTTTTTATTCTCTATCCTAACCCGTTATTTCTATAGTCTAAGATATTAAAAAAAATACATTTCTTGAATCACTCCATTCAAACTTACCCATTTCAAAAAATGCTTCCTGGACCAAGGGAGGAAACACTTGCAATGAGGAAGGGAGAAGAAGAACAAAGCAAATTGTGAATTTTTGAAAAATTAGGATTCAGAAAGTAATGTTACCCTTGTAGTCACGATGGGTCCATTGGGCACCTCACATAATATCATTACTACCACATAAGCAGTTAATCTCCCACTAAGGGGCGTTTATAAATTCATTTTCTTATATACATATATTCACTAGTTCATTGATTATTTGATTAATTGAATTAGAACACCATCAAACCGAATCAACCAGACCAAATTTAATGGTTGAGCAGACTTTAATAACAAATTGATTTTTCATACATCCAAAGTGAATTTTAATCATATACTAAAAAAAAGTGAATTTTAATCTCTTAAGAATTAATATCATATACAGCAAATCTTTCACAAACCAAATTGGTGATTTACTCGTAATTAATTAATTAATGCTGGAGGTGTTACACATTTCTTATAATATAGAGGCATATCAAGAGTAAGTATACCTAAACCTTGAGAAAAATTTAAAGCATTTACCCTTTATTATCTAATTACAAAAGGACACCTTTGTTGAACTTCATTAAATGTTGGGCAAAAAAATTTATTTATTGCAATTTAATTAAATAATTACGCAAATATGACAGTTTGGGAAGTATTTACAGATCTATTGCACACTGTGACGCCCCTTTTGGGCGTCACATGTGAAGCCCCAGTGAGGCGTCTCTTATTAAGGAGAGACGCCCCAATGGAGCGTCACATGTGATGCCCAAAAGGGGCGTCTCATGTGCAATGCTATAAATATCTCATTTTTCCCATTTCACTCCTCACTCATTCACCTCTCTCTAACCTCTCTCTAACCACGGTTCGTAGCGAAGTTCTGCCGACTTAGGTAAGGTCGTAATACCTCTTATGTATACGTTTAAATTACAGTGCTAGTTAGTAATACATGTTAGGATTGATTGTATATTAGAGACTTAGAACATTAGGATAGTCACTTAAAAATTTTGTGCCATGCTATGAATGTTGTAATGATACTCCCCTTTTTTTGTTACGTAGTTATTATTATTATTATTTAATTATGCATTAGGGTTTAGCATATTAATTAGTGATTTAGAAAATAGTGATAGCGAGATCGTAAATTTTGTATGTATGATGTTATTAATGCGGGAGTTTATTCATAATTTTGTAGTCAGTTAGGTGTGATGATTAGTACATATTTATGAAGTTATTAGTGACCTAGGGTTAAGTATTCTGTAAGTATTACATTATTTTTGTCCAATATTTTTTTTTATTTAATTACAAATAAATGATTGTACTACGTATTAACATTATTTCATTAATTTCAATTCTAGTAAAATAAATGACGCATATGCTTAAATTTTTTGATAATAAATTATGGCATTGCTTAATAATTGGTAAATAAAATGGGCATTACATGTGATTAATTTAAATGTTGTTTTATATGATATAGTTGAGGGTAATGGCTGATTCATCATCTTCATCGGGTTCTGCATCGGATGTAGAGCCTACCAATCCTAGCATGTACATTATACATGGGCCGTACAGATGGGAGGTCCTTCGTAAGAGGACGCAGCGTGCTCATATTTCACAGCGAGTGTGGAATATGGAGCATGTCAGGAAAATAAAGACCAGGCGTGGAAAACCAACGGGGGGGCCACCTACCATAAACATCATCGCAGTAAGTTAGATCCTAGGGCTCTTAAATGTGTTTTCCTTGGTTATGCTCCTGATAAGAAGGGCTACAAGTGCTATCACCCTGGCAGCCGAATTTTTTTTGTTTCTATGGATGTTACATTTTAGGAATCTGAGTCCTTTTTCCAAGGTCCTCATCTTCAGGGGGAGAACAATTCTTCAGAAAAACTTATCACCTTCCTTCTTTGAGTTTAAATCTTCAGTGTCTACTCCTTCACCTCTTCCTCTTGTCTCTGTTCCTCGTGTCTGATCTTCCTGTGTCTGATCCATCAAGTACACTAGAAAGATGGAAGACTGTGACACCTGAGTTGGTATATCATAGAAGGAAATAACCCACACTGCTTCACCAGCAACCTCAATCGTCTGAACCATTGGTAAGTCTTGAATCTCAGATTCCTGATTATGATATTAATACTTCTGAGGGCTTACCCATTGCTTCTGATTCTGATGATTTACCCATTGCCCTAAGAAAAGGAAAAAGATGTTGTTCCAAGAAATCTTGTTCCTCATGTCCCTCTTGTACTCAATACCCTATCTCCCACTTTGTTTCTTCTACTAATCTTTCTGTGCAGCACAAAAGCTTTGTTTCAGCACTATATTCTATTTCAATCCCAAAATCAGTACATGAAGCATTGAAAGATGAGAATTGGGCTCAAGCCATGCAAGAGGAGATGAATGCATTGGAGAAAAATAGAATATGGGATGTTATTGATAGACCCAACGAAAAGAAAGTAGTAGGGTGCAGATGGGTTTATGCCCTGAAGTATAATTCTGATAGCACTCTTGAGAGATATAAGGCTCGGTTAGTCGCCAAGGGTTACACTCAGGCCTATGGCATTGATTATGAAGAAACCTTTGCTCCAATTACAAAGATGAATATAGTGAGAGTCTTGTTATCCCTTGCTGCCCATTACAATTGGGATATAAATCAATTTCATGTGAAGAATGCTTTCCTTAATAGTGAGTTAGAAGAAGTCTACATATAAATCCCGTCTGGTTTTGATTCTGTGAACGGAGAAAATAAAGTTTGTAGATTAAGAAAAACCTTGTATGGATTGAAGCAGTCACCTCGTGCCTGGTTTGAGAGGTTTACTAAGGTTATGATGACCATAGGATACAAACAGAGTCAAATAGATCACACTTTTCTTTAAGCACTCTTAAGATGGGAAGCTCACTGTGCTCCTTGTATATGTTGATGATATTATTATAACAAGTGATGATTGTGTGGAGAGACATATTCTGCAAACACGACTAGCCTCTGAGTTTGAAGGAAACTGAGATATTTCCTAGAGATAGAGGTAGCTCATTCAAACAAAGGAATTTTTATCAGCCAGAGGAAATATGTTCTTGATCTTCTCAAAGAAGCAGGAAAGCATGGGTGTAAACCCTCGAATACTCCTATTGAGCAGAATCACAAGATAGGTTATAAAGAGGAGAGTTCCCCAATTGATAAAGGACAATATCAACGGCTAGTTGGGAAACTGATATATCTCGCTCATACTAGACCAGACCTAGCTTATGCTGTTAGTGTTGTCAGTCAGTTTATGCACGATCCAAAGGAGAAACACATGCAGGTAGTGGAGAAAATTCTTCAGTATCTTAAAGCCATTTCTGGTAAAGGATTGTTATTCAGGCGTGATGGCGATCTCTCTTTAGAAGTTTACACTTATGCTGATTATGCTAGATCTGTGACTGACCTCCGTTCTACGTCGTTCTACCACTGGTTATTGTATGTTTCTTTGTGGTAACTTGGTGACGTGGAGAAGCAAGAAACACGATGTAGTTGCCAGATTAAATGCAGAGGCTGAATTTCGAGCTATGGCTCAAGGCATTTGTGAGTTATTGTGGCTGAAAATTGTACTTGATGATCTCAAAATAAAATATGAGAGACCTCTTAAGTTGCTATGTGATAATAAGTCCACTATTTGTATAGCTCATAATCCAGTTCAACATGATCGGACTAAACATATTAAGGTCAACCGCCATTTCATCAAAGAGAAACTTGATAGCGGGTTGATTACCACTCCATATATTCCCACTGAGAGTCAATTAGCTGATGTATAGACAAAGGGACTTCTTTCAGACAGATTTCAAAAACTTACCAGCAAGCTGAGAATGATAAATATCTATTCCTCAGCTTGAGGGGAAGTGTTGTATATAATAATATTTATTTATTTATTTGTTATATTGGACTTAGCCCATTAGGTCATGTAATCTCTTTAAATAGAAAACTCTTTGTACAGTTTACATACAATTCAAATAATATATTTCATTACCCTTTCAATTCAAATAATATATTTCAGTACCCTTTTTCAAGTACAACCTATGACAAAGGGTAGCTAATCATATATTACAGTATACCCTACGACTCAATGTTTGAACTGATTGTGAGGTATTAGCACGACTTAGACACTTCTTCCTGTATCTCCATGCAACCTGAATTCGGTTTGCTGCAAGGGATCTCCAATAATGTGATTCATACCTAACATAATAAAATGATCATATCATTATGTCAGAGCCATGGTTTTGAAAACAGAAACCATGGTTAAAAATCACGCATTTGTAATATGTATATTACGTCAGTGTGTTTTGCATGAGGGGCATGAGAGAGATATAATTGATTTTCATTACTCTAAGTCATAAAAAGGTCAAGATTATGGTGAAATATAAACCCAAATGCAAGTAAATAGAATGAATGACCTTAGAGCTCCTTGAACATGAGGGCTCCGCAAGAATCTTGTGAAAAGGGTTGTGAGTTCTTCAAGGTCTGCAGCTCGGAGTGAAAATGCCTCTACATTTGTTAGGCACCTTACTGTCCTGTTGCTCAGCAACCTCTGCCTTGGAAGCCTTACTTTTTTACCATCTGCAAGAGAAACCATATTGATGAAACATGCTTTTTCTGATTTTGTAGTATGGTCAAGTTGTTGATTATTGCAACTTCTGCTGATTTGTACTTCAAATATTTAACAGGTATTTTATCATTGCATCAAGTATTGCAATTGCTATACCTGTGCTTACAGAAGAATGTTCAAGATACCATGTCAGAAGTTCTTCACCACAAGCATCCCCTTCAGATAAGGGAACTCCCATTCCATTTTCTCCAATACTCTCCAATTTTCCACGCACAACAAAGACCATCTTCTCCACATGACCACCATGACTCAAAATTCTACTTCCTTTGATGTATGTCTTTTGTTTTAGTCTCTCACAGATGGCATCCAAGATTGGCTCATCCATCAGGGCAAAAATTCGAACCTGCAGATATTTTAGATCCTCAGAGAAAATTAAATAACCATTACAGACATGAACAAGATAACTAAAATCCACATAATGATCAATCATAATTTCATTTTTAATTATTACTAGCCATTTATGCCACGAATATTCTAGTGCATACTTTCTTAACAAATTTGAAGAGATGATGTCTTATGTCTGTCTGGAGATCTTCTGGCAAATTCTCCAGAAGCATTTCCTCGTTCACCCCCCTTGTTGCAGCCCAAGAATACCGTTCAGCCTGTCGTACTCTCCTGCATGACACACATAATATCTATCACTTGTACATTACGTGTGATTCTTAAATTCATGTGACAACCTAAATAAAAATAAAAAATAAAAAATAGTTGACATACTATTTTCTTAGCATTCAGGCCTATATGCTCTATTATATGATAATCAGTAGCTCCACATATATGTACATTGTCTATATCAATACGATTAATATAGCTAAGCACTTAATTCATGGGAAGCAGATGATTGTAACATACACAAATGCTGTAAAAATTTAGACTGGTCTAGTATAATAAGAAATAGAGGAGTAAATCAGTATTTACAAAATAAATCATTAAATTAAGACACAATCAATAAGGAAATGGATTGCCTTTGCAAGACAGCATACCAATAAGATGTTCCCAACAGTTAGTTATTCCGCATAAGTTTCAGGATTAAGGATACTACTAATGCACATAGTGATTAATCATATTTAATAAGAAAACCTGCACTGCAGACAGATACAAATAGATGCAATGAGAGATTACAAATTATCTTTTTTCTCTCTTTAAAAACTAAAATAAGTCTTTAGAAGTTGCTAATTTAATTGAGACTCGGTGTGTAAAGCAGTAGCTGTGTCACATTGTAACAGCATACTGCTTCATGTACATTGTCAAGAAAAGGAGTTGTAGGAGGTGACGGGAAGTTAACAAGCAACTATTTGGATTAACCAATTGACATATTATTTTGGCAATGTGGATGTGATTTGTGAAAAGAATGAGAACATTTCATACCTTCTTAGATCTACTGGTAAGCGACGATGGCTCATCCATTGCTCAACATCACGGCCTCTAAGTTGCATTTCTAGCCTCCTGAAGCAGGACAGAAGAAAATATAAGATGCGTGTTATGAGCCTAAACACATTACAACACTATCAAAGTTCAATTGAAACTCGCAGCATAAGATAAATTAAACTAACCAACAAGGACAAAACAATGCCCTATACAGTATTAACAAGATATAATACTTAGAGAGGACTTCTTCCGAGACCAACTTTAAGTACCTAGTCCAAATTAATGACAATATGAGTCACATGCGAGGTACAGTCAAACTTAAGAGGCATGCTGATGTCTTGGAATTACAGCCTATAGTTTGATACAATTGCACTTATGGGACGGCTGCCATTCATCCGTCTGAATCATTTTTAATTTCTCAAATGAAAGGAACTGTAAACAGAAGTTGATTTAAAGGGAAAGAGATGACTAAGAGCACTATTGTCACCAAGAGCTAAGGGTCACAGCAAGTAAAGCAGTAAGTCCTACCTCCGTCCAAGAGCCTGAAGAAAGTTCTGTATGTTTCCAATGAGAAGCGCAAAAAGTAAGAGTCCCAATCCTATGATGGTCATTGTAAAGAGGACTTCCAACTCAAATTTGCTCGGGGTTAGATTACCAGCCAAAGTACTGATTTGCTGTATTAAAAGATCACAAGGGTAAAATTGTTAAGGGATATCAAATCATTATGTGCCTTTTAGTTTTGGTCCAAGTTGGGTCTTGACATGATATTAGAGCATATATGACCATGAGTTCTGGAATTTAAGCTTTGTCTTTCCCATTCTTCTAAGAAAAATGCTAAATGGTATGAATATGTTTCCATATAATACTTAATAAAAATAAAATGAAAGAAGTTTATTGCGGTTTGTCAATTACCAATTTACCTTTCAAACCTTAGTCTCTTCAAGCATGATTGGTTATAAGACATACGTAACAACTTTCGTAGAAAAGCTTTAGTACCAAATAGCATTGTTGTTAATAAACCAAATAAACCACTTCCCGTTAAACCCGACTAGCGAGTGTAGGGTGGAAGGCAATCCTTGTACGCACCCTTACCCTTGCATATTGCAAAGAGGCTGTTTCCTGAATTTGAACCCATGACCTTTGAATCATGAAAGAACAGCTTTACCACTGTTCCGGTTCGTCCCTTTAAATAGGGTTGTTGTTCTTCTAACTAAATCATAATTCCCGCACAACATAAAGTGGGGATGTGCTTTATCTACACCTAAATCCAAAAGGGGTTACCAGTGGTGGGCTTTAGAGAGGGAGAGATAAACAATGAGAATTGATAGAGGGAAAAGAATTTGTGGTATACTACAAAAGCGTAGTAGTGTTTGGTTAAATTACTTTATATGTGCCCTATAGTTATACTATACTTTCAATGAGGCACCTGCACTTTAAAAATTTTCAACGTAATATGTTTAAATTTTTTCAAATAAGTCCCTATTGACTGATGGGCTGTTAGTCTGTCAATGGATGCTTATAGTAATCTACAAGCCATCCTGTGCTGTTGTTAAAGATTTCAAGGATATTTATTAAAATTCATAATTATTAGAGACCAAATTGAAAATTTGGTTGCATTAGAGGGACTTATAAAATTTTTAGAAGTATAGAGAGCCATTAAAATGTTTTAAAGAATAGGAACTTCTTTAAAGATTATGTAAAACTACCTACTGAATAATTTAACCTTAGCTGTTTCACTGCAAGAATTAATGGGAATTTTTATTACTAAAATAGGTCTTGTTAATTATGAAAAGATGACGTGTTTTCATCCAACTAAAGAAGTGCATGATGGTAACTTCCACATGAAGAGAAGGCTAGCAATATATACATATATATATACATGTGTGTGTGTGGGCCTTTTTTTTTTGGGGGGGGGGGGGGGGGGGGGGGGGGGGGGGGGGGCAGCTAATAAGAGATGTTTTGGTAAAATTAATATAATAAAAAAAATGAACAAAATTACCAAAATACCCTTCATTAATTCCCTCAACCCTTAAAAAGACGTACTTTATATTTCGTCTCTCACATGAGATAAAGTTATTTCCTCTAACCACAAAACAACATTTGTTTGGGGTTTGGGAAAAGAAAAACAGGATATTTAGTAAGATATATGATACAGAAGAAATGTAAACTCATCAAAATACCCCGCATTTTTTTTTTTCCTAAACCACAAAATGACGTCGTTTTGGGGTTGCTAGAGATAATTTTATCTTCTGTTGCAGGAGAAACACACACACTCTAACAAAGGAACAAAAAAGGAAAAGAATGAAATACATACCTGGAAGCCCCAAAACAGCGCATACACATATTTTTTGACCACCTTAGTTTCTATAGTAAGTTCTACAGCATTGACATAGATCCCATAATAAGGATTATTATCGGGAGTGGAATTCAAACAAGCAATGGCATCTGTGTTGTTGATCCACAGGGCTGATATCTGGTGAAACGCACGATCACACTTATTGAATGTCTGGCATCCAGTAATATTAAGGTTATCCCAGGCATGTTGCAAACATCGATTAACCCTCTAGAAGAAGGAAGAGGGAGAAAGGGAGAAAGTTAGTAAATTGAATGCTAATTAAATTTCTGAGCACACACTGCCACATACTACTATCATACATTATTTTTCCTGTAATTCTCATTACATGTTGTCGTATTATATACAACCACTTGAAAACCACGAGAATTCAAGTGAATCAAGTACTATTTATTCTGCATTTTCCTTTTGTTCTGGGCAGGGTACCTTTTCTCCAGTTTTGTGCAATGTGAGAAGCAAATTATGAAATTTAGAGAGGAAGAAATTTTGAATTTTTTGAAAATGAAGCTTCAAATATCATTTTCACTCACCAGTAGACCAAGGTAATACCAGCAAGAACCAACAACATGACCAGATAGCATAAAAATGAGAAGATTTATAATGAAATTTGCCCAGGCTGACTCAAATATGAATCCAGTGGGAGACTGGCCAATTAGCAGAGGCAGAAACCTGAATAATCTGGGAAGATACTGTACAAGGATTGGTACACGCAGAAGATTCTTAGCATTATTTGCTCCTGATAACCCGAAGGAATTTGGAAGGACCAACAATATCATTATCTGCAAATATTTCACTACATGTCATGACAAGGAGTTTGATGAGTACATGATAAACCCATAGTCTTTTTCAGATATTGAATCCCCTTTCCTTCCCCTGCTACCTACTTGTTCTCAAGCACATGTTCATGTCCACAAACTACTTATTCCTCAGAATAACACACTAAAATGTGTAATAACTGTGGCCCACTTCGAAATTGAACATGATGATATAAGACAAGAAGCCATTTGTAAAGATAAAGATAGAAACAAGACAACAAAATCTTTAGGGTTCTTGAGCATTACTCTGCTATAGCATGGAAGTTATTATAGATAAAAATCATTTCTAGCCAATACCTAGCTGCTTAAGCTTTTAGGATAATTGGTTCTTAACAAGGTATTAAGCCTCTACAATTCATTGTCAACACATAGAATCTCAATGGCCCCGATTTCTTAATTAATTTCAATGTCAACACAATATAAGGTTGACCTTTGGCATGTCTATGCTTCAAGGAGAAAGACTTGTGCATTCAGGAGTTCATAATGGATAAAAATTATTTATGTGCATGCACCTACCAGCTTAAGCTGTTTAAAAATTTGGCCTTTAACAACAGTAATTACAATAGATCTGAAAAACGTAACAGCATCTCCCAAGGACTCCTTATTTATTTAGAACAAGAATATCACAACTTAATAATAGATATTTCAAAAGAAACAAGAGAAGAAAAAGAAACCTCAATTTCATGTGAAACCCTAATCCCATAATAAAAACAGATATTGCATGAGATGACTAGATTTTTTTTTCCTTCAAATCTGATTACAACCAGGAAATGGAGAGAAAATATCATTTTAGCATTCACGTTCAATTGTAAGGCATGTATATCTCAATTCACAATATAAACTTTGTGTGGAACATAAAGGTGGATACCAAAAATACCAAGTTACAATAAGCTAACTACGAAGAAAGAGAGATGGGAAGAAATTTACCTGCGGAAAAGGTAATACAACAAAAAAGTCCAAAAAAAAATAACCCTTCATATAATTACAAGCAATTTCCCAGGGACCGTCAACTAAATCTCCAGCACCAACCACCCTTGACTCGGGGGAAATATAAGCCAACCTAAACTGCAAAGAAGCAACCCAAACTAGACTTAAAAACCTCAACAACCATATTTAAGATTCAGGCACTTTTTTTCTTTTCTTTTCCTTCTAACCTCGACTAATTAAAAAGAAAGAAAGAAAGAAAACATAACAAGACATACGTAACTACACAGAGATGCAGCAATGTACTAACAATAAGGTTATAGTAAAGCAATCCAGCCTATTTTTCATCTGAGTCAATTAATGCATTCCATTTTTAATATAAGGTAGATGACACCATATCAATATGGCTGACTGTCAATAAATAATAGATACTCTTCACACAAAAAAAAGTAAAAATAAATAAATAATCTTAGGTTTGTAAATATGAGGGAAAACGTCCCAACACTGATAGAATATATGGAATAATTGTTTCAATGGAGTGGTTTCTCAAAATGTAAAAATGAATCATTCTTCTTCACATTCGTAAAACGATTACAAAGTTTAGATATATAGTCAATGATTAAAGCTTAAAGGTTTACAACAAATTCCTAACTGACTAACAAACTGAGAGCTGAGTTAGTTATTCGTCATATGTTGTGATTGGTTCCACGTGGCTTGATCCCATGTGAAGAGGAAGAGTAAGTTTGATGAGTTGGGCCTGGATCAATTAGCTTTGGGCTTGAGTTAGATGAGCATGACTCTGGTAAGAAGCCCCCGCAAGCTGGACCGTGGAGATTAACGAGGCCGAGCTTGGAAATACCAGAAACAAAAGCTGAGGAAGACAAAGACTTGGTGAAGACATCTGCGACCTGATGAACTAAGGATACAGGAAGAAGACGAAGTAGGCCAGAACGAATTTTGTCACGAGTAACATGACAATCGATGTCAATGTGCTTGGAACGTTCATGGAATGTTGCATTGTGAGCAAGATATACAGCGGAGCGATTGTCACAATATACAGAGGCAGTGTGCCATGGTAAACCAAGATCATTGAAAAGGTATTGGAACCATTGTAATTCACAAGACAAGCTAGCTAGAGCTCTGTATTCTGCTTCGGAAGAGGAACGAGAAACAGTCGTTTGTTTCTTCGAACGCCAAGCAACCAGTGAATCACCGATGAATACGCAGAAACCAGTAATGGATTTGCGAGTAAGAGGGCAACATGCCCAGTCGGAATCAGCAAAGGCTCGTATGCATAAAGAACCATGTGAAGGATAAAATAGCCCAGTAGCAGGTGCATTTTTCAAAAACCGTAAAATACGGTGAGCAGCAGTAAGGTGGTGATCACAAGGTGAAGCAACAAATTGACTCAAATAGTGCACAGCATATGTAATGTCTGGCCTAGTTGTGGTTAGATACAGTAACCTACCAATGAGTCGACGATAAATGGAGGCATCAGATAAAGGAGGACTTTGGGCTTGAGTGGCAGAGAAGGATGGAACAATTGGGGTAGTCATTGGTTTAGCAGCAAGGAGGCCAGCATCTGTTATTAATTCCAAAGCATATTTTCGTTGGTTGAGAAGTATGCCAGACTTTGAGCGAGCCACTTCTAAGCCAAGGAAATAACGTAATTTGCCAAGATCCTTAATGCGAAAATGTGCATGAAGGAAGTCTTTCACCCGTTGAATTTCTGTCATAGAGTCACCTGAGAGTACTGCATCATCAACATAAATGAGTAGTACTGTGAAGGAAGTGGCAGTTCGAAATGTGAACATAGAGTGATCTGATTCGGCTTGAATATATCCCAAAGACAGAAGGGCAGAGGACAATTTGGCATGCCATCGACGGCTGGCTTGTTTGAGCCCATATAACGATTTTTGGAGCTTGCAAACTAGATTCCCAGATGATAGACCAGGAGGAGGGTCCATGTAAACTTCTTCGTTGAGGTCTCCGTGTAAAAATGCGTTATCAACGTCTAACTGCTCAAGAAACCAGTTTTTGGTCGAAGCTATGGCAAGCAATGTGCGAACAGAAGTCAACTTTGCAACCGGTGAGAATGTATCAAAGTAATCCACTCCTTCTTGCTGTGTGAAGCCCTTGGCAACCAAGCGTGCTTTGTATCTTTCAATGGATCCATTGGATTGATATTTGATCTTATAAACCCATTTGGATCCAATCGTTTGTTTACCAGGAGGAAGGGGTACCATCACCCAAGTATTATTCAATTTTAAAGCATCCAATTCTTTTGTCATGGCTTGCTGCCAATGTTGGGACTTGGCAGCTTGTGTGTATGTGCGTGGCTCAATATGAGATGATGAGTTGAGACAAAAATGCTGATATGAGGGAGTACAAGTATTATATGAGATAAAACAAGATAAGGGGTACCTGGTGGGAAAGGTTGAATCACATAGATGACTTTTGGTAGCTGTGGAGAGCCCAACATGATAATCAATAAGGTACCGTGGAGGAACTCGGTCACGTGAGGAACGACGAAGATTGGCATGCATGATGACATCTGGCTGAGACGTGGCTTGATCTAAAGATATGGTCTCATGCAGTGTATCAGTATCAGTAGATGAGGTGTTAAAGTTTGGAGGTTGATGTGGTTCGGTGTTGACAGGTAAGTGAGTTGATGAGGGATTGTTTATGATGAGTGGAATAGGTGATGGAATATGAGTTGGAGTTTGGATGAAGGTTGGGTGGACATCTGGTGCAGATAAGAATGAATTTGGAGGGTCACGTGGCTGTATGTTTGGACCAAAAACATCATAAAAAGGGTTGTTTGGTTGGTGTGGGTGAGAGGAATGTGATGGTGAGTTGGCTGATGAATGAGGTATATGAAAGGGAAAATGGGACTCATAAAACACCACATTTCTTGAAATGAAAAACTCTCTGGAATTCAAATCATATATGAGATAGCCGTTTGTTCCTTCTTTGAATCCTAAGAACACAGCCTTGCGGGCTCGAGGAGTAAATTTAGTGCGGTGAGACAACAGGGTTGAGGCATAACATAGACAACCAAATACTTTTAGATGTGTCAGCAAAGGATCCTTCCCATATAATATCTGGTATGGTGTCTTATTGTCCAGAAGAGGGGAGCATAACAGGTTGATAACATAAGCAGCATGGAGGATGGCATAACTCCAGAATGGAAGTGGTAGATTAGCTTGAAACATGAAGGCACAGGCTACATTCAGCAAATGTTGGTGCTTGCGTTCAACCAAACCATTTTGCTAGGGGGTCTCAACACAACTGGTTTGGTGAATAATTCCCTTTCTCTTATAGAATTCAGTCATAGCAAATTCTATTCCATTGTCACTACGGATGGATTTAATGGAAACTTTAAATTGTGTCTCAGCAAATGCAACAAAATCATGGATGTGCTGACGAGTTTCACTTTTGTGTTTCATAAGGAATATCCATGTAAATCGTGAGTAATCATCAACCACAGTAAGAAAGAAACGATAACCATTCATTGATGTAGTAGAAAATGGACCCCAGATATCTGTATGTATCAAATCAAACACTCTATTGGTTTTAGTCTCACTGGAATTAAAAGGAAGTCTTCGTTGTTTTGCTAAGTGACACACATCACATGGAGTTACATGTGCAGAAGGAATAAAGGGAAAATACAAAGACATATTATGTAGAACATTCTTTGAGAGGTGCCCCAATCGTCTGTGCCACAAGACAGATTCATCTGTACTGCTTGTGATAGCTCCACAACAGCCATCTGCTTTATTTGTATGTTGGGCCTCTTTATTGATTATCATGTACAAGCCATTTCTCCTTTCAGCTGTACCAATCATCCTCTGTGATGGGATCTGTTTGATGAAGCATAGTTCAGAATCAAAGGTGAGTGAGCAGTTAAGGGTTGTGATAAGTTTTGATACAGAAATCAGATTGACATGAAATTGTGGGATATATAGTGTGTCATGGAGAACTAAATCGGGAGTTAATTGAATGGTGCCTGAATAATAAGCATAAACTTGAGATCCACTTGGGAGAATTACTGAAAGAGGAGTAATAGCATGAATTGAAGCAAACACAGAAATATAATGTGTGATGTGGTCTGTTGCACCTGTGTCCACAATCCAGTGAGTATTTGGGCTACCTGATTTGTTGTTTCTTTCGGTTGTGTTTATGCTGGAAACTTGGGCCATGTTGCTCACATGATTTGTTGCAGGAGCATCAAGAGGACCAGTAGAAGGAGACTTATGCAGAAGGTCCATCAGCTGTTGATATTCAGTTTTGGTCATATGCATGTAAGGTTCTGAATTGGAGGCAACCGAAACATCTTGATGGAAGTTGTGAGAATCTGTGCTAGCAGCATTTGTATTAGAAGTTCTATTGCCTGTGTGATAACCTGGTGGAAATCCATGTAACTGATAACATGTCTCAATTGTATGGTTGTTTCTGCCACAATGAGTGCATATGCGGTTAGGTTGAGATCTGCCTCCAAAACTTCGACCTCTTCCTCTGTAAATAGGACCTCCTCTGCCATTGTTAGATGTGCCATTATTGAATGTGCCATTAAATCTACCTCCAGAACTAGGACCTCCTCTTCGGTTTGTGACATTAAAAACAGATGATTGATTCGCATCAGGCACATGATTATCCAATTTGAATTGCCTTTCTTGCTGAGAAACAAGTGAAAAGGACCTATTGATGTTTGGTAATGGACTTAGCAGCATGATTTGAGACCTTACAGATGCAAATTGGTCGTTTAATCCTCTCAAGAACCGTATAACTTGTTCTTGTTCGCGATATTCTCTCATTCTGGTGATTGCTCCACACACACATGGAACAACACAGATGCAATTAGGGAGAGGTTTGAGATTGTCTAACTCATCCCAAACTGTTTTGAGGTGTGTATAATAATCAGCAACAGATCTGTCTCCCTGATGTAATCGAAAAGCTTCTTCCATCAAATCGGAGATTCGAAACACATCTCCTTGAGAAAATCGTTCTTGTAAATCCAACCAAGTATCACGAGCATGTTCTATCCAAATGATTGATTTCACTATAGACGCTGATATGGATCTTTGAATCCATGCCATCACCATCGTATCACATCTTTGCCAAGCAGAAAATGTAGGTTCATCTGGATCTGGTGCAGGAATGCTTCCATCGATGAAACCGAGCTTGTTTTTGGAAATTAGAGCCATCTTCATCCCTCGAGCCCATGAGTGATAGTTTTCACCATTTAAGAGTGGTGAAACCAAAACTAAAGCTGGACTTTCATTCGGATGCAAGAACAAAGGATTAGAGGGGTTAGTTTGTGGATCAGGAACGTGAACAAGATTCGCCATGAAACTGATTGAAGAAAATCAGAAAGAAATTGAAAGAAGAACAAACGAACGAAGTAAGAACGAACGAAAGGAAAGAACTCTTCGAAGCAGAATACCAGAGCTCAATGAGAGCTCTGATACCATCTCAAAATGTAAAAATGAATCATTCTTCTTCACATTCGTAAAACGATTACAAAGTTTAGATATATAGTCAATGATTAAAGCTTAAAGGTTTACAACAAATTCCTAACTGACTAACAAACTGAGAGCTGAGTTAGTTATTCTTCATATGTTGTGATTGGTTCCACGTGGCTTGATCCCATGTGAAGAGGAAGAGTAAGTTTGATGAGTTGGGCCTGGATCAATTAGCTTTGGGCTTGAGTTAGATGAGCATGACTCTGGTAAGATGGTTGATGTGAAATTAGGGATGGGGAACGCAACAAGATTCAGGACATACTTACAGAACGGGATACTGAAATTTTATTCAAATTGAATGACATCCTTCGGGTTGGCTTATATTAAGTGGGAAGATAAAGTTAATAATTGAACCCTAATACCTAAATTACCTACACTATGTCTCAAATTACAGTAACATAATAATTATTACATTTATAATAATTATCTTTAGTACTTGATCCACCACCAGAGAGTAAGTAAATCACATTCCTAGTGTATATACTATGTGGATCTCTTCTTTAACTTTTTCTGGTTTGAATATTATTATGCTCATCAGAGTTCATATTATTGTGGAAAGTATAGAGGAAGTCTCATCCGGAATCTCATGCATTGTAGCTTAACGGAGTGCATTCGTTACTTCAACAAGAACTTTGTTGCTTTAAGATGATGAATGCTACTTGAAGAGATGCATAAGAGGATTTTCATTATTACTATTAAGCTGGAGCCACACATATCAATCCTTTCCATGACATCATCATATGCTCAAATGTATCATTTAAGTTTCCTCATGAAGTTTTCTAGATATACCTTATTTCCCCCAGCTACTTGTTCCTAGCTCTCCCCATCTATTAAAATTGTCTATATGCATTCATTGAAAAAACAATAAAGAGAAGACAGAGTAAAATAAGAAACACCCCCGTAAAGAGCTGTATATCTTTGAGACAAGTATGATTGACATGATGGCAAGGCCTAACACTCTTCTGTTTCAAGTGGCACTAAGAGACTAGCCTGCTTCTTTATTTACTAAGATGCAGCAGTTTACAGGAAATATTTAGCGCGCTTTTGAAGCTTCAATGATCTAATTATTCTATAGTCAACAATTATGCATGACACAAGAACAAACCTAAACTGTGTTATTCTGTACCTAGAAAGCTCTTCTGACATACACTTTCAACATCTTTACCTTCTCAAAAATAGTAAAATTGAATAACAAAAACTTGCTGTCATTGAAGGAGCTATTATATTCTTCAAGCTAGTAATATGACACCATTCTAAGAATATACAGATTAGAAAAATTCAAACGTATGGTAAGGGGGAGGGGGACTTTCTGATAAATTACCTGGAGAAGAATGTTCAAGAAATATAGAAAATCAGTCATGCTTCTCAGTGAAACAAGTACTTTTGTCCATGTCCAGTTGATAACAATACATTTATGATCCTGCATACAATGAATTGGAACGATGTAAAGTAAATTTGCAAAAGTAGTACGAGGGAAATCTTGGTATTTAAATAAAAGGAAAAGAATCATACCTTCTGCACATAGATTAAGAAGAAAAACAATGGATCCACAAAAATTGCCACCATGCAAAAAATGGCCAAAATCTTGTTCCATTGTTGTACGATTTTAGTGTGAGGGTTCATAACCCCAGGAACATATGAAGAGCAGAAAGAAAAAAGTTTTCCCCCAAAACCCTTGGCATCCCCATCAAGAGCATTGTGGAACTGTAAACATTTAAAACATGAACAAAAGTACCCTTGGTTATGTGAAAGTGACAGCACATAAATGTCTACAAATGCAAATGAAAAGGTCAGAAGAAGTTCAAGTATACTGATATACAGTAAAGTTTATCAGTGTTAAAAAAATAAGTGTTGCATAAATAATGAGACAGCTTGAAATTGTCGATTGACAATACTTCTATTGCACCTAAATCAGACAATGATATCAACAAAAAAGAACAATACAAATAGATTCAGCTTTAAAACAAATTTTAAGAGTATGGTAATAACGAAATTGTGCGGGTTAAGAGAGTGGTTTCTTGTAGTGTACCTAAAGTAAAGGGAATAAGGATCATTTGGCAATTATAAATACTATTACAAGAGGTTAAATTACTTAATCCTTAAAGTTTCACAAAAATTCAATTTAGTCCCTATAGTTCAGATTTGTTTTGAGAAATGGCAATAGGAGCTGCTAACCTGTCTAGGAGCTCATATTCATAGGAGAAAAGCATCACCAAGTGGGTGATTCAAAACCAAACAATTATTTTCTAGATTGTAAATCAATTATTTTGTTACTTTGAATTTTGTATATATTCTGAATTTTCTAAAACAGCGGCTATTCCTGATAGACCAAAATCACGTAGCATGCAAGCTTTAGATGCTTGATCTAAATAGGGCCTTAAGACACTAAATCCACAATCTTTTCTTATGCATATATATATATATATATATATATATATATATATAAAAGTAAATAGCAATTGAAACAGAATACTTTTCATAGAAATACTATTCACCATCTTGATATCTAACATAAATATAGATGATGTAGAAGTGCAAAAGCCACAACTATATAACTAAAAAAGTATATTCATCATATTGATTGACAATGAAAGCAATATAAAAGTAAGGCTGTGCATAAATATGAAAAATGTTGGCTACTTAAGAAACACTTGAGCACAGTATAATTCAATCAAATATCTATAAATTATTATTTTTTTAAAAGTCATCATAGTAAACTCCTGACCTTGGTCAGAATAAAGATGTGTAGCACAAATTTGTTACTATGCAGTACATAATTGAAGTCAACTTCAAAACATAGAAGTCATTTTTTTCATAAATTTAAGAAGAACTAACAGTCTATTTTAGGAAGAAAGACACCTTGGGATCAAATATAGTCGAAGCTATTGGATTTCTTAGAGACGAGGCCTTGAAGTAAGTAGGGCAAGTAGTGCAATAAGGATCATTACACATTCCCAGTTGCCCAGACCTCAGTAAGTGTTCATTTTTTCTATCATATTTGTTATTCCAATTACTTTTGTTTGTGCCTTCTCGAGTAGAAAATTTTTCTTCCTTGCTCTCCGCTACTTCGTTTCCTGTCACAACAATACTCTGATGCAAAAGATTTCCAGTTCCATGGGTAGCATACAGTGGACCACTCATCTGTTTAAAGGGGATTTTTCTCACACTACAAAGTGGACCAGTATGTCCCACAAGACTAGCCTCTCTCTCATTGGGATCCATGGAGACCATAGGAATAGAAATTGTTGCACTTCGTGTCCGGTATACAAGCCTCCGGAAATTATAATCCACAGCTTCATCAGATTGATGTCGAGCATGTGTTTCTGACAGCATTGGCACCTCATCTTTTTCAAAATGAGCCATGTTTCCTTGATGATTCTGTAATCTTTTGAAATAAACAAAACATCAATATATATATATATATATATTTCTTTACCATAACAGCAATTTTAAAATGAAAAAGTCCAATTTAGCTAGAAACTTGAAAGGGAAGAATATAAATTACAAGACATTAAATAACCAGTGCAGTGAAAAGCCAAAGACTGTACATCAGTGACAAAGCCAGAAGGAACTTAATACATCATAAGGAAGATCCTTGTTCTTATCTGGCAGAAAGTTAATTGTAGAATGATATATGTATCTTTACATTGGGAATTTTCAGATGACACAAAAAGATTAACAAGTGGAACAACTTGTAGCAAGAGAGAAGTAATGAATCCCCTCCTCATCTTAAATATTCAGAAGCTTGGAACAAACCAATTAAATTGACCTCAACTAACAATACAATCATTGAAATGCATGTACCATCCAACCTCACCAGTTTTAGTAAAAGAGTTAACAATAACAAACACATCTATGCCCTTTAAGCCAGTGATCCTGACTCTACAAGTATCTGTGCTTGTGTTCAAATTTCAAAGTTAACACATATAGACTATACTATACAACAAAATGAAGCATTATAACCTAAGAGGAATCACAGTTGGGCTAGGAATCAATGGAAGACTTCAAGTACAATGTAAATGAGATTAAGTTACAGAAAAGGGTATGAACAAGCAGCAATAATCAAGAATAACAAGGATAAATAACATGCAAAGAAAGAGTAAGACCTGTATGAAGTGAAAACCCCACAAACTATTTTGCACCCATTAAAGTGAAAGAATGCATTTTTATAGGCTTGTTGATGATGGGGGGAAACTAGCACAAGGACATTCTGACACATAAAATAAGAGTTTTAAGACAAAGATAACTAAAAAGGAAGTTTCTTTAATTGAGGAAAATATTTTTAGAATCACATTGTGTACGATCCATTGCGGTAATTTTTTTTAAAGGGTTTAGATCTTTAATTTTATTTTATTTTTAAATATATCAATCGGTTCATTGTTTCGCAACTAATTTGATTTGGGGCAAATCGAAAATTAAGGCTTTAAATTTATCTCTAACAAAGCAATAAATCGATTCGAATATTAATATATATATATATATATATATATATATATATATATGCGTTTGATTATTATTTTTTATTTTTTTACATGGCTGCTTCACATGAGTTTCACATTTATTTTATATATATATATATATATATATATATATATATATATATATATGGGGCAGGATATATTTGACACCGGTGTCAAACTTTGAAATTAGACATAAAATCCTAACCGTTGATTTCCGTCAATCAACGATTATCATTTATTGGAAATTACACTTATTAATTAATCATTAATTCCCAATAAATGATAACCGTTGATTGACAGAAATCAACGGTTAGGATTTGGTGTCAAATTTCAAAATTTGACACCGGTGTCAATGGATCCTACCCCTATATATATATATATATAAATAAGAGATAATTTTATTTTTAATAATATAAAAAACGTTAATCAATTATACTAAACGGGGTTATTTTAACTTTTAAGTGGCATATTCACGTGTGGTATATTAAAAAATAAAAATAAAGACTAATATTATTTTTCATTGTTGGAAAGCATTAAAATTGCTTTCATAAAACCTGAATTTGATTTTTATAAAATATATTTTTGAAGAGGACGAGCTGATACTTATAAAAAAATGCCAAGTCCGGCTGGCATCAAAAAAATTAAAAAAGGGGAAAAATATTTCTGTAGTTAATGCAGATAAGTTATCTGCATTTATTCTCAAAACGACGTCGTTTGGGTATTAAAATCTTAAAAAATTATAATATAAAGACTATTATAACCCTGAAATAAATTAAAATTACAAAATTATCATGATTTCTGTCCCAAAACGACGTCATATTGGACTTACTGCAAATAACTTATCTGCATTAAATGCAGAAAAAACGAACTCATTAAAAAAATAATAACAAGAGACCCGTAGAGAAAAAGAAAGACTTTGACAATGTCAATTTGGAAAGTTGAAATTGTTAGCGTGTAACGTTTGCTGACATTTCATTAAAAATAAACAAAGAAACCAAAACCTTAAACAGTTAATTAAACCTTAACCTCAGTGTAAATTTATTGAGTATTTAAGATCGTAACAAACCCGATTGCATTTTAAATACCTTTAATTTTGTTAAAATAATGCAGTGTCATCACTCATCATCTTATGAATGTTCAAAAATATCACCACTGTTATTTACTATGAAAGTTTTTATATAAAAATGTTACGGGCGTTTTATAACTAATCATACATAAATAAAGAGAAAAAATTAAATTTTAAAAATTAAATAAATACCAATACTTGTTAGTGAGAGTAATTAGGAAGAAAAAATAAATTGATCAATGATAAAATGTTATAAAAAATCGTTTTTTTTTCATAAGTGCATTTGCTATTTTTTAAATAGGATTCGTGTTTCTCATATTATATGAGATAATTTTATTTTCGATATACATATAAAAGTGTACAGGGCCCATGATTTTTTTCTTCTTCGTTTTTTCTTTTCTTCTTTTTTTTGAAAATATTCTAATCGATTCATTGCTTCGCAACTAATCCGATTCGGGCGGGTTCAGTATTAAGACTTTAAACCCCTCTCAAAAGTAGTACCGGAGAGATTTGAACAAATGCTCTCACCTCCATTTTTTTTTCTTCACATGATTTAACATGAGCCTCATAAACTTTATCTCCTATAATATATGAAATATTAATCTCTTTTTAAATATATAATTTATTTTTTGTTAACAAAAAATAGTAATAAAGGTTACTTCCAAATTTATGTCTATATTTCAAAGCTAGGTATTATTCTCTTGTGTATTAGGGGTGTTATAGTAGAGAAAATTACCATCAAATACATTAAGTAATATTTTATAAGTGAGATCATATTTATAACTTCTTTTTTTCTATAATTTCTTAAAATTATTTTTATGGTTGTTGAATCAAAATCAAATTAATAATTACAAAATAATATTAAGCGTGAGCCATTAATTTGATTAAATAATTATAACAGTGATTGTAAAAAATTATAAAGAAAAGAAGTTGTAAATACAATATCCGTCGTATTTTTTTTTTTTTGATAACATATCCGTCGTATTTTAACAATTAAGCTCGATAACACATATTAACTTAAAAGGGAATGATTTGTTACAAACTTTTACAATTACACTATATACTCTTCAAAATACATTACTAATCAAGTGTATTTTTTATAATACATGCTATTATTTATAAAAATTTATTAATATAATATTTCCCTTAGCTTGATATGTTAAATTATGTGGTCATAAAATAATCAGCATCTAACCCCCAAGGGTAGCTCAGTTGGCAGCTGAGCTCCCAAGAGATTGCTTGGTGCAGGGATCAAATCCTGCATCAAGCAATTTTTTGGAAAATCTTTGGGGGACAGAGGATATCTCCTGGCAATGTACCAAAAAAATAATAATAATAATCAACATCTGTCATAAGATTCTTTTCTCGGAAGTGATGATCATCAACTATGTTTTTTCAAAACATTAAATTCGTGCAGATAAAATATATACATATATAATCCCGTATACCGTAGTAATAAGTTAATTGTTGGTTAGAGGTAGAAGTCGTTATAGTCTCCAATCAAATTATATTAAATGAACACATATTTAATTTATAAACAATTAAAAAATATATATTCTAATTGATAAATTATAACCACAAAATATCTGGTCAAAAATGAACAGAAGATAGTTGGATTAGGCAAGACATAATCATTTTTTAGTGTGTGTGTTTTTTTCTACGCGTTGCTATGTCTACACAAAGAATATATATATATATATATATATATATATATATATATATATATATATATATTGAAGAGGAATTAACTTACAAGATGTTTTAGCCTCACGCCAAGCACTGGCTATTGATTTCAATTTGATGATAATAAAAAAAAAGCGTTGAGAGAGTGAGAAAAAGTCTTGTTTCTTCTCTTTTTCAATCATAATTTATTATTTCTTTTGTTTGACAATAAAAGATGAAAATTGGATAGTCTTGTGAGCTTAATTTGGAAGAGACAAGTAAAACTTCCTAGAAACTTCCAGGAAGGCACCAAGTACTAACTACTAACTAGTGTTATATTTTTTCATAAAAATAAAATAAAATATATTACTTCATTTTTATCATGAGATGCAAAATTAAAATATATATTTAATTATTAGGAGTTCAATAGTCTTAATATATAGAATCTTAAACCCACTCATGGAAACTTTGTTGACATATCGCACTGTCCTTCATTCTTAGCTTTGTATTCACACTGAAGATTAGTTTGAAAAGTTACTTCTTTTGAAAACTTTTTATTATTTGAAAATTAAAATTTAATAAATAGGTGAGATAATATGTCACATTCAAAATTCTTTAGTGGCAGACAACTGTATTAATGTCCCACTAATTTTTCAATTTTAAATTTTAAATTTAAACTTGAAGTTGATGAGAATATATTTAAAATTCAAAATTAATTGGTGGCAGACATCTATATTAATGACTCACTACTTTGATTGTTAAGCTATTAATTGTTACAATAAAATTTAGTTAAAAAACGAAATACTTTCTCTATAAATAAGATGTGTTGTAATCATATTTTCCTTTGGTAATCACTTTCTGTTTAACATATTTCTTTTTGTTTAGGTCAATTTCTCTTCTTCGACTGCTTAAGCTATGTACTTCAAATATGATTTCATAAAGGATCTTAATCCTACCAAGGACGATCGGAGGATTAAAGTTAGGGTGGTAAATAGTTGGAAGGTTCCTAATTTTCAGCGTAAAGATTTTGATGATAATGTGGATATGGTTCTGTTAGATGAACATGTAATAGTTTTCGATTCGTTTTTGGCAACTCTGTTGTTGCTTGATTTGGTTTTGATTGATTTACTAATGTAAGTATTTTGTAGGGTGGAAAGATTTATGCTACTCTCAAG